AGTAGTAGATAGAGCAAATTGTGAGGAACGAGATTGTAGATATTAATGAGCGAGAGAGAGTGTGAATATTAATGAGGAGCGAGAAATGAGTAGTTGGAATAAATATATACGCTAGTAGTAGGTTTTAGTAGGTTTGAAAATTGAAAAAAGTATGAATAGTGTATTTTCAATAGAAATTTGATAAGAAAAAATGAGAATTTCTGGATAAAATTGTGAAACAAACATGATCTCGGTTTTATGAATAGTATAAAACTGGAAAGTGGGTTTGGAAATGAAACCAAACATATGTTTTCGACGGGGGCAGATATTTTCTTGGATTTTCACGGGTTATTGATGGGTTTTGCAGAAGAATAATGAGTTTGGTTCTTAGCTACAAACCGAACAGAATTTTGTCGGAGAGAATGTTGGAGTGGTGGAGCGAAGCGGATGCTGAGGATATGGAGGGAGGTGAGGCCAGAGAGAGTGTTCGCCGGAAGTGACTGGCGGTCAACTATGTTCAGTGTATTTTTGAAAAATTGCAAATCAGTCCCTGACATAAGGAAGAAGAGGCCATGGCCATTTCTAAAACTTCAAGGGATTGAATTGAAATTTTTCAAAACTTTATTTCGGGCTTATTTTTTAAATTTATAATTTAAATGGTATTTGAGTCTTTTCGCGTCAAAAAATTGAACCCCAATCGCATATTTGACGAGTGTATCACACGACCAGCAACACTGGGACCTTAATGCCGTTTACTATGCAACACAAGGGGAATGTGCGAATTGTTTTAACATAGGAGCTTTTTTAGCCGAGATTACTCAAGAATGCCGGGTGCTAAAACCTCCAAAAAAGACACCAAAATGGATAAAAGTACTTCAACTTTGATCAAATCACATACACAAAATTATTAACATAAAACTCCATGTAAATCTCCCATCATAATTAACATTTCATATCAAAATAAAAAAGGCCCTCCGGTACATAGCCGATGTATTTCGACACGAAAACTAAGGATTAGCATCTAGAAGCATCGACGGACTTCAATGAAAAAAGAAAGAACAAAGACGAACAATTTTTAAATTTGTACAATCTTCTCTACCATTTCTCTCATCGCCCCTCCCTATCCTATAATATTAGCTCCTCGTCTTCAAGCAAACTCCTTTCGAGTGTTCGGGTTGATAGCCGAGTTAATTCCACAAAACATGGATGGATCACGAGCGTCTATATATATATCAACTAATTAAATAACAATCGACATCTTCTTCCGCAGTTTGAGCACCAATGCAAAGCCTTAAGTCTTCGCTTCTACACGAAGCTAACCTACAAGATGTTAATTGTTCTTCCTCGACTCGTTTGAATTGACAAACGAATGCATCCAAAGCTTCTTTCATCCATGCAGCTGCACATGCTTCCTTGGCTTCACTAACCGTCATCTGCGAAAACAATATATAATTCAAAACCCCACATCGAATTTTTTATTTTATTTTAGTTATTACAACTATAAGCACATAATCGGTGGTAAAGATTCGATTTTTGGACATACCCAAATGCGACGACGGACACTTTTCTCGGGCCAAACGTCTAATTCCTCGGTGACCAACAAGGGGAACATGGATCCCTCATGGAATTTCTCTTGGCTCTTGCTCTTGAAAATCCATTCTCCTAATTTATCCTGCAAAGTAAATAAACGAATATAATAAATAAAACATCTTAGGACAAATTGAATCTTGAATTTTGATTGAGAAAATTACGAACCCCGAGCATGCCTACTACGCCGGCTTCCTCCAAGGTCTCTCGCGAAGCGGCTAATTCGATATTTTCGTCGAGTTCCCATCCACCCTGATGAATTTTAATGGCCAAAATGAGAAACAATTCAACAATTTCTTTTTTTTTTTTTTCACAATAAGAAGATGGTGTACATCAAATATATATATATATATATATATATATATATATATATATACCTTGGGGAACATCATTCTTGGACTCTTTTGTGAGGTGATTAAAAGGACCTCCAAATCTTCAAGTAAAGTCCCATGGAGCAAGTGGGATTTGTTGCTTTTTCTTATTCTATATGGTATACACCTGCACATATTAAATATTAAATAAAATTAATGATGAGAGCTATATGGTATACACCTGCACATATTTAAATTAAATTACTGATGAGAGAGAGAGAGAGCCCAGATCAGAGATTCTACAGACCCAATATATACAAACCCAATTCTTGAAACAAATAAAACTAAATAAAAAACCCACAAAATCCCTAATTACAATGAACACACACAAAAAAACACCCAAATTCAAAGAAAATAAAATAAAATAAAGAGCAAATAAAATACATACCCAACAACCTGACGAAACCCCTGATTATACCGCTGCAGATGCCTCCCTGTACGAGAAGGCAAAACCACCAGCTTCTTGATTTGCATGGTGAATTTACTAAATTAACCCTCCTGTTTTCTTCTTTGGTGTTTTGAATTAAAAATTGGATCTTTAAATATACAGAAGCTTAAAAATGGAGTCTTGAGAAATGAGAATTACAAAAAAATCTCTCTGTTCAAGAAAGCAGAGACCCACTATTTATAGAAGGCCAATTCTTCTGTTAAAAACCGACCGTTGTGATTATTACACCCAGAAAAATCGCAGTGGTGACAAATCTGTTTGTAATAACAATTTCTTGGTAATTAATATGTGAAGGTAATAAATATAAAGCTATATGGTGCTCTTCTGCTATTTTATTACTTGATATAATATAGAGAGAGATAGTAGAGAGAGAAAGAGAGATAACAAACAAATGGAAGACAAGTAATGTGATGTTTGTGGATAACTGAAATGGTTAAGGGTGTCCACTGATTTTATAGAAGAGGATCTTATTTTTTTTTGATAATTCATGAGGATCTTATTTTATTGTGGGGGGTGGGGTCTTGAAAAATTAATGATTGGGGTTGTGTTTTTTGATATTAAGAGTGTGATATTGTCACAATCTTATTGCGTATGTATGATTTTTTTATTTTATTTTATTTTATTTTTTTTATTTTATTATTATTTTTTTTTTCATTTCGTGTTAGGTTTTGTGTGAACGCGTTTGGTGTCGCTTTCAAAAATTACAACAAAAGAAAATGAACAAAAAAATGCGGCTTATGTCGGGCGTAGGAATGCCAATGGGACGGGTATATATATATAGGCATATATTGAAGCTATATATATAAACTAGATATTATTCGTCAAAATGAGTTAACTACTATTAGGTAAATGGTAGTTTTCTGATTCATTTTCAAGTAAATGTAGATTTAAATCTAGGGTAAATTACGGTTGTCCACTGAGATAAGGTCAAATAATGACAAAAATTCTACTGTACTGTTTCGGTAATTACAATCACTATTCAACTATGAATATTTTTACACGTTTATTATTGCGGTGTCAAATATTAGTGGAATCTTCTAGATTATGTGGAATATTCTCCAGTTTGTATCTATTTTATCTTAATCGAGCTCCATATTTTGAAGCAGAGATAATCATACGATGTGTCTCTTGGCTTGTAAATATCAAATTGTGGTGCATCAGAAACTGCGTTTTCACACAAAACGAGTACAAATTAGAGCACATTCTACGGAATCTAGAAAATTATGTTGAATTGGACACCATCAAACGTATAAAAAGATTAATAGTTAATGGACGGTTGTAATTTTACAAAAAAAGAATTTTTTTCGTAATTTAGCTTCATCTCAGAGGGAGGATAAAGAGCCGTAACTTATCCTATAATCTATATACATGCAATCGGTATAGATATTGGGGAAATGAGGGATACACCCTTAGTTTTTAAAATATATATGGATAGGTCCTATAGATTTTTCTTTTCTAGTCAAAAACCCAAATTTTAATTTTAATTTGATAGACCCCCCTAGACAAATTAAAATACCAATTTTACCCTTTTAATTCAATTAAATAAATACCCTATATTCATCTCACGTGACCCACCAAATGATACATCTCTCCCCCTCTCTTTCTCTCTCTCTCTCTCTTTGTTTCTCTCTCTATGTCCTCCTCTCTCGCCAGATCTATCCGCTCCCCCACCGTGTTCCGCCGCTGCTCCCCACTGCCTTCCGTCGTCGGCTGCTGCCCCCCCTCCCCCCCCTGTTATGATTCTCAAGAATTTTTTTTTACAAAATTTACTTTCAGGCACACCGACTGGCTCACAAGCTGTGGACTCAATCCCGTAGGCCGTTAGCACTGGCGCTCCAGTCTCGAATCTCAGATGTCTTTGCCGTAGATATCCACCCCGCCGCCAAGATTGGAAAGGGCATCCTCTTCGACCACGCCACCGGAGTTGTGGTCGGAGAGACAGCTGTCATCGGAAACAACGTCTCCATCCTCCATCACGTAACCCTAGGCGGCACCGGCAAGTTTGGTGGGGACCGCCACCCCAAGATCGGCGACGGTGTGTTGATTGGTGCGGGGGCCACAATACTGGGGAACGTGAAGATCGGGGAGGGGGCCAAAATTGGTGCGGGGTCCGTCGGTGTTGATTGACGTGCCACCTAGGGACGACAGCTGTTGGTAATCCGGGCTAGGTTGGGTGGGGGGGGAAAGA